TGTAAGTCTGGGCTTGGAAAAAAATGATTCCAGTTAATTCTCTGAAAGCTTGGAACGAATGTAATTAAATGGTTGAGAGTTCAGTATCAATAACTAGGGGAACAAGTTGAAATCAAAATGAAGAGTGACATATATATACATATATATCCCAAGTTGGCAATACACCCATTCATAATAATTCATGCCAATGGGGAGAAAATACTTTGAGTCTTCTTTATTCAAGATTTGGGAACTTTGGAAGATGCCTATCACTCTTCATGTTTTGTTTCTCCTAGAGGTGTTGAGCACAGCAACCGTTGGTTGCTATTGATTTCCAAACACCCAGTTCTTTTTCATCAGTCCAGGGACCTGAGGATGCATGTCTGCGGGGTTGTTTTGTTGTCTGTTGGTTATTTCTACTGAGTGCAGGAGCACAGGATGTGGGTTCAGGGTTGTCACACTGCTTATGGCCACTGGAAACCCAGTTCCTCCTAAGGGCCTTCTTTAAAATGGCATAGAGCTTTGTAACTGTCTGAAAGTGTGGAACCTGTGATAGTGTGTTTCTGTGGGTGGTATGTGGTGCAGAAGCCTCCCTCCTGACTGTTGTAAATTGCTGGGATACCATCCCTGTGACTGTACTATAGAGTCATTTGGCCTTCCTGTGTCTGAGTTCCAATTGCCCATGGTTGTTAATCACCAGTGCAGTCTCCCCTCTGCTGGGTCTTCCCTGGAGTGGTGCAATCAAGCACCTGGTGATTGCCTGCAACCATGGGTCCCATGGGTCATCTGTGGTACTGACCCTATACCTAGGATGATCTAGATTTCTGGGGTACTGACCCTCTGACTGGGATAGAGAGATACTTGGCCCAAGAGAGCTCTTAATGTTTGTGAGTATGAAAAGTGAGCTCTGTTCCCCTCTGCTGACTGGGAAAAAGAGTCAGTTGGACAGCCTACCCCTGGTCTCTTACTCTTCACAGTTTTAAATCGCTGTGCTACTTCCTTCTTCTGGGATATCCTTGATATGCTGCTATCCAAGCACCTTGAACCCTTCTGCAACCATGAGGCCTGCAGGTACAAGCTGTCTCTGGCCTCCCTGCACTACAGAAGCCTCAGTTCTGGTGGGTACAGCCCACTGGGTTTTACTCATCACCACGATGGGGTGGGGTGTCAGTTGGCCCATCTTTGTCTGAGCTCCCACAGAGGCTGTGTTGAGTGCTGGGTCAGAGTTAGCACTCCCTGAGAGTAATTAGCTCTTGGTCAGCTCCATTGCACTCCTCTTGTCCATGGTGAGGGAAAGGGGGTTTCAGTAACTTTTAGTTAGCAGTGATTCCTCCACAGGTAACTTCTAGACAGATTACTGGGGCAACCCATTTCAGAGGTATTCCCTATAGTTTTATTTGTTGCTATCTGAAGGTGGAGTGGCGCTGTGTTGATTTAATTTCTTTTAAGGAGGTTGGCTAGCTATGAATTCTATAAAATGGCTGCCAGGCCTGGCATGGCTTTCAGTCCACAGTTTGTTCTAAGCAACTTGATCCCTTTCACTGTCTTTGTTATTTATGTCACATTTTCATTTAGCCTGCTTTTCTTTCCAGCTGTTGTTAAGGAAGTAAGCACATGCGCTTTTCTTCTCCCTTTCCCAAAACTCCACCCTGGTCAGGGTTATGGATCAAGGAATGTTGACTTATTTTCTACTCTAGTAACCAAACACCAGTCCCTCCAAGTGTCAAACTGTTCAATATTAAGTTTTAGAATATTTACACTATCATCACTCCCTGGGCATTTGCTCTTTCCCTGCTTTCACTCAGGGCTATGGAGGGTTCAGGGATTGCAGCCTAGCTCTGATGTTCCAAATTTGCTTCTCCTCAGTTGAAGCTCTATTTGAAGATATCTTTAAATGTATGTTATGAGCATGAAATTATATCTGATTATTACTGTAATTTGCATTTAATTCATTATGAGTTGGACTCAATGTCTTTTCACATAGTTTATTGTACAACTCATTTTCTTTTTTTATGTTTTTAGCTTTTACATTCTGAATTTCTTTTTTATTCTTCGTATCATTTTCTTCATGAATTATCTGCTTATATGCTTTTACATTCTATTCGACTATTTTCTCTTTTCTAAAAGATTTGTAGGATGTTCATTATATTTTATTTATTTATTTTTTTAATGCAGTGCTGAGGATTGAACCAAGGACCTTGCACGTGCTAGGTGAGTGCTATACTGCTGAGCCACAATCCCAGCCCTGCATGTTTGTTATATACAATGCAAATATATTCTAATCTCTAACCTAATTTTTCATTTTAATTATAAAATATTTGTATGCTATTACATGGTGCTCACCTATGTGCATTTACTTTTAATCCATTTGTTTTATCATTTAAGTTTGGACAAAAAAATCTCTTTGGACTAGAGAGAAGATGGTTAATAGGCACAAATATGCAATTATATAGAATGAATAATTTTTATATTTTATAGCCCAGAACACATTTCTGATTGTTTTGGTGCTCATTTATTTTTTATTCTCCTCTCTCTTGCATGAAAATATCTTGTCCATGACACCAAGTCACATGATTAAGACTAGGTTCAGCTGACCAGATTTGGATGCCTCCTTTACTCAATACTATCCTAATGACTTTGACTTTTTCTTCATGCAGGTAAATGACACTCATATCTGAAACTTCATATGTTCAGTAAAGTACCTGTAATCATGATCTCCTCTTTCTGCCAAGTAATGGTAACCACTAGAATTCTAGAAGGTTAATCATTGTAGGAGAACTTAGAACAGGTACTCAGATATGTGAGGAAGTGACCAGGGGCCATTTATTAGAAACAAAGTGGTGAACTCTTGTTCTCCACATTTAAGGACAGTGCCATCCACATTGGGAGTCATTGACTTTGGAAAAGGCATTTTTCACAATTAATTTTCCCTTCACTCTTGGAAATGTCTAGAATCCTTCCCCTACTCTAATCTCTATGTCTGGCCAGAACATATCCTTTTCTCAGCGTTATTTTTGTGGGAAGTTGTGATACAGATCAGCAGTGACTCCCTGCTGCACAATGAGAGTAGACATTAGCTACAAAGCAATTCATGAGATTCCCACTTGCAAAAGGAAGGAGCTAAAAACCTGAGTCCCACCACCACTGTTTTCTAGTGACCAGCTAACTCTAAATAATAGAAAGTGTTTCAGGGTAAAAAAGTTATCACAGAAAATGTTCTTTGGCCACCTTACCCCTCCTACCTGAAAGTGCTTTCTCTCCCTGTACATCCCACAGAGCCCTCTTAACATCCTTGTTCCTTAGGGTATAGGATTAAGCACGGGACTAATGACAGTATAAAAAAGGGCAACAAACTTTCCTTCACTATCAGAGTAACTGCCCATGGGTTGGAGATATGTGTACATGGCTGAGCCATAAAAAAGACAGACCACCAAAAGATGGGAGCCACATGTCCCAAAAGCCTTTCTGCACCCAGTCATTGACTTGATCTTCAGCAATGCCTGAGCAATGTGGGCATAAGATCTTAAAATTAGTGCAACAGGAACAACCAAAGTTATGGCTCCAGCCACAAACAGATTGGCCTCTGTTCCTCCTGTATCCTTCCAAGCCAACTTCAGTAACACAGGCATCTCACAAAAGAAGTGGTTCAGGCAGTGAAGGCCACAGAGTGGCAGGGATGCCACAAGGCCTGTCTGAATAAGAGCATTCAGGAGGCCTCCCACTCTGGCAACAATAGCCAGAGATAGGCAGAGAAGGGGGTGCATGGTGGTTGTATAGTGGAGTGGACAACACACGGCAGCATAGCGGTCAAAGGCCATCACTACCAGGAGCACACACTCAGTTCCACTCAAAGCAAGGACAATGAAGAACTGGGCCACACACCCTCCATAGCTGATGGTCCTCTCAAGTCCAGAAAGATTGATCAGCAGCTGTGGCACAGTGCTAGTGGTATAGCAGAGGTCCAGGAAGGAGAGGTGGCAGAGGAAGAAGTACATGGGTGTGTGCAGTCGAGGGTCCAGTTGTGAAAGTGTGATAATGGTGGTGTTGCTAAAGAGAGTCAGAGAGTAGAATACTGAAATGAAAGTAAAAAAGGGGAGCTCCAGGTGAGGCCAATCTGAGAAGCCCACCAAAATGAAGCCCTCTCCCAAACTGGTATTGAAACTTCCCATAGCCTTTTACCTGCACAAATAACAGAAGACAATTCAATGCTCTTGTTAAAAACATATTAAATTTCTATGTCACAATATTGCCTAACACTGTTTTGCTATTGTATGCATTTTTGTCCTGTCTTCTTTTCATAGCTCTTCTCTAAGGAAGATAGCACTGGATTAGGAGTGATAAGAACTTGATTTGAACTCTAGTTTTGCTGCTTGTTTGTTCTATGACTATAGCAAAGGCCTTGTGTCTGAGATTTCTTGTGTGAAAATGTCAAGGATGCATCGCCTCCCTCACTGCACTGAGGACCTACTGCAGTTATTTGGAAACAAGCTTTTAAAATGTAGAATGTGGGGCTTGGGTTGTGTCTCAGTTGTAGAGTGCTTGCTTAGCACATGTTAGACCCTCGGTTGGATCCCAGCAGCGCATAAAAAGAAAGAAGTAAACTACAGATATTTTGTTCACATACAACTAAAGATTAAAAAAACTGCATGCTAAATGTTTTTATATCCAATAATTTTCTGACATAATATCTCTCAATTCAGAGAAAAGGACATATTTAAAGGAATTTATTGATTGTAAAAACAACCCTAAATAAAAATTATGCAAAGAAGACTGTGCTACAGATACCAAACAACTCTTTCTGGAGAGTTGAAGGATGGATATAACAGTTGTATTGGATATGGATATGTATGGATATGTATGGATATAAGGATGGATATAACAGTTGTATTCTATATTGTTCTCTTTTGCCCTCCTTCTTAATTAGGTAGACTCTTACATTAGATTAGGATCAAGGTTTACCCAGGATGAAAGCTCAAGTTTGAACACAGGTGCTCATTTATTTCTTTCTGCTCAGAGAATGTGGTCAACTCAACATGAATCCTTGGAAGTCCACCTCATGACCAGCTGCCATCTGTCTTCAAGAACTGAGAAGAGTCTAGATTAATCTTGGAAAAAAATTAAAAACACATCAGTTCATTATAACGAGTTATGATACATTGAAATATTTTCCACTCTTTGGCTTCTTGTAAATTCATCTTTTCACTTGGAGTCGAGGAATAGAATCATGACATGCAAGTTTTACTGGCCTCCATATTCCTCAACCAAAGGTGACAGATTGAAAATATCTACTTCCTTTCATATTGCCTAAGGCTTTCATCCCAGTAAAACAAAGAAATGATATTAGGCTGGTACAGATGGTTGATAATGACTCACACTTTCATCCCAGGCATGGCTGGGTGTTCACATATTATCCTACTATAACTTCACATTCAAAAAACTGTGTTAGTAACTCACAGTCTGCACTTACAGATAGAACATGGGGTATTATTCAAGTTTGTGGCCATAGACATGCATTATGACCTTGAAAAAAATAGATTAAAATAATAACAAAACTAATAAGAAATTTTAAACACTGTGCATGGTAAACAAGTGTTCCTGAAAGCTTTCAGATTAGAAAAGAAAATGGTTAAAGACACACAGTTTCATTTATATACATGTTTAAGATCTGTCATATGAAAATGTGGTATATTTCCTTTGTTTTTCTCAAAAAACCAAACTCAGAACAAGTGCTGAAATTTATGAGAGGACAGTTGTGACTCAATAAAGAGATAACTTGAAAAAAGTTCAGTCTAAAATTAGATTACCTAGAAAAGAATTGATATCCTTGTAACATGAATGCTTCCTGTTCAAACACTGAAATTTGACCCATGAGGATGCTATAACAATGTTCTTGCATCAAATATAAAATAGGTAGGATGATTTTCTTTAATTTACTAATCTAATTTTTAAAAAATTAATTCTTACTCCTGATCTTATTTTGTGCACAAAATGCATTTTTCATTTGCATATGTGGTTTTCTGCAATTCAACTGTCAGTGATTATTTGTGATCAATTCTCTGTGTTTTTGTGTCCAAATGTGTGTCCATCTGTGTGTATATGTATGACCTCTATAAATAATAAAATTCTTGATCAGAAATTATTTTTGATTTTTTCTAATCACTTGTGGTACTACATCCTTTTGTCTAGTCTACCAATTTTATAGCCATATTTTAAAACCATAATATATAATTTACTATTTGAACACAGATATTTGATAATTGCTTTAGAGAATATTTCTTGTCTTCTAGATTTTACCCGGAAGCTGAGTTATCCACTCAGTCATCACTCACTTGAAGTTCAAGAAATGAAAACTACTGTATTTACATCTGTCAACTCAATGGGTTTCAAAGGATATGTGAAACTCATTGCAGATTGGTGGCCTCTAGTGATGTTTGAAAAAGACTCTTCTC